CCACCGTGACTGTAGCCGCTAATGAGATACGCAGGCAGATGCCAAGGTGCCCTATGGCCGAACGTAGCTCATGAATGGGTTAGACATTCCCTAGCTGGCGCTGCGAGGGCTCCGCCCACTTAGCGGAGCTATCGAATCCGCTCAAGCCACTTGAAACACTTGTAGCCATCTTAGACGCTAGGTTCGGCCATACATAATCCACCTCAACATACACTTCTAACTTTAGGGCGGGCATTTCCCCCTACGGGTGGGTTTTGGACGAAACGCACAAACTAGCTGTTTCTTCCTGTGAAAAACAAAAAAGAAAAGCAATCCATCGCCCATATAGTATCTTTCAATATTTTCGAATATTCCTCCTGTCGAGAGACAGGCCCGACTTGAATTCTAACCCCGTCCACTTAGAACCTCCCGCGGTGATCCCAGTTTCGTCGGCGCCTGGAAATTGTCCAATCTCGGGGTGCCTCCCAGCGGCTGCCCGAGAGCGCTCTGGGGGTGCCGGGATCGTCCCGAACAGCCGACGCAGCTCAGAGGTACGACGGGAAAACCAAACCTAACGAGGAGGATCATTGAGGGGGAGCGGCTCAGGGGGGAAACATCGACTTCGCATCGGCGATGCAGCGCCAATGTATCGGCGATATGCCCTCGATGGCAAGTCCGTATGTTCCTGGGCGGGGATGAGCTATCGGGCCCCTGTCGGCGATCAGTGAGCGATTATCGGGGGCACGCACACATGGATCGGGGGAGGTGCCCTCCCCAAAGTGCGGCCAGTGCCGCCTCGCTCGGCGGCGGAAATCCGCGATTTCCCATGGAAACGGGACCCGTCGCTAATCCACGCCCCTTCATCCATGTTTGCGAGCGCCTGAGATTAGGGGTCGATGCAGTCCCCCCTGGACCCAGCCCCCCCTAGCGTTGCCCCTGAGCTCCAGCGACTGCGCCGCGAGGGGCGTGGCTGGCCAGGCGCTGCGCATCTGGGCGGTGACGCTGAAGGACGCCTTCTGAGGAAGCAGACGGGCACCGATACTGCTACAGTCATTCGGCTACGCAGCATGCGCAGGGAACGCCGACTGAGGAACTACTGGGGGTTCCTGGCCACGACTAGCCTCGGCAAGGCATACGCCCACCGACCTCATCTTCAGGAAAGACCCGAGCAGCCAGAGCCCCCAAACCAGGGCATTGCAAACCAGAGATTTGAAGGTTCCACCAGGAGTGAACGAATAATGGAGCAGGTTTTGACCCACAACTACATTTTTCTCGGGCGCGTCAGCGTTCTGGTCTATCAAAGTCCCCGCTTCGGGGACCTGAAGGTATCGGGGCTTCGTAAACGGGGGTTTAGCTAAACGGGGGCTTAGGCTTTTCCATATACCCCCGTTTACTGTACCCCCGTTGACGGCGCCCAAGGCCCCCTGAACGGGCGCATGGCCAAACGTGGAAATAGGTGTTCCCCGTACCCCCGTTTGGTGTGCCCCCGTCTCTGGCGCCCTGAAGGTAGATGCCGCTGCTCCCCTGACCTCATGAGGGCCGCGCTCCGACCAGGACCTCGGGGCGAACCCCAGCCGTGGCGGCGAGGGCCCTCCAGGACGACCAGCGACATCATCAAATCTGAAGGCCTCCTGGATAGGGTCCGAGTACACTCGACCAGGATAGCAAGGATGCGCGGTAAAGATGCAAGGGCAATGGAACGCCGTGTTGACGTTTTCCGAGCGGAGCGCAGCAGAATGCCGAAGGATGCCGAATACCGAAGGGACAAGGATGCAAGGGTAGCCTTGGAAAGTTGCCCCATCCTTACTATCATGGTTGACTGCAGACGGGGTCGGAGGATCGCGCCTCATCCCCGATGCATCGCCCGATGCATCGGCGACGCTGGCGATGCAACGGCGACGTTTGCGTGAAGAAAGCCGGGCTCCACATCGCGCCGCGACGCCAATGCATCGGCGATGCGGCGCCATTATCCGATCCCATCTGCTCGGGCCTCATCTGTGGAGCAGGGACCGACCGTCCCCACATTCATATGGAGCCACCTCGTCCTATAGTAATATCATGTTCTAATACAAAAAAACGAACGTCCTCAGGGCATACAACCGTTGTGTTCCAACAAGACGGTCTGAGCCAGATATGTTTTAATCCGTGCAAGCCACGAAGGGTTCGTGGAGCACTGGTTGGTGGGACTACAGGCAGGCCAGGACGCCTCGCCGCTGCTTGAACCTGGGAGGCCTGGCTGGAACACCTCTTCCGCCTCTGAGCCTTCTTGGCGGGCGCGGCACCCGAGGCGGCCGCCGCCAGCGCGAGCACGAGGCCCCGCAGGCGGCCGCGGGCGACCACTGCCCGCGGGCCGCCGGCCGCCATGCCTTCTGCGGCGGGCGGCTGCGCGCGGCGCCTCCCAGCCCCTCCGGAGGGGAGGCCACCGCGCGGCCAGGGGGGCGCGCAGAGGGGCGCGGCTATGAAGTGGGAAAGAGGGGCTGCGCGGGCAAGAGGGGGCTGAGAGGCAACGCTGGGGGGTGGAAGAGTCACCCTCACAAGGAGCACCTCTGCCTTCTTGTAGACAGGCAACGCTCGCACACCAAGCAGCACACAACGGTTGTAGACTACATGGCCGGAATGGCCCACATGATGGTATGCTACCAGGCAGGAGCCTACACGCAACATACATGTATACCAGTGATAGGTAGCAAGCGTAGCACATACACACACATACGTATGCACACATACCTGTCTGCATGTGTTAGCACACACATTGCGCACACACATGTTTATAAACAGCGGGCCAACTCACACACACCGCTGACATATTACGCACACGCGTGCACACGTTGCATCAATCCACACGGAAGCAACATGCGCAACGGTTGGAAGCCGAGGTGATGGTACGGTGTGGTGTGCGGTTGGAGGCCGAAGAGGAAGAAGAGAAATTGGACGGATGCCTTTCGTCAAACGTCGTGCGCAATGCTCGCGTTGTGCGAGCCGTCCGCGTGGAGGGCCAACCGGCGATCCTCAGGAGGATCCAGGCCCGCGTGGGCCCTCGTGGCTCTCGACCCCGCCCCACAAGTCCAATTCTCCGTCGCAGCGCGCTTGCTCATGGCACTTTAGCCCGAGAGTGGCCCCCGGACGCCCAGACTGAGGGGCAGCTGCCCATCGAAATTGATTGGCCGTGGCGCCTGCTCGTCTGGGAAGAGGGGAGAAGAGGTGGAGCAGGGGGGACTGTGGATACAAAGCAACAGTGTGCCCGATGCCAGCACCCTCCCTCGGTCGCTGCTCCTGGTGCTGGCCCCTTCCCGATGGGGAGCGCGTCTCGGGGCGAAGAGGACTGCAACGCACACGTGCGATACAAAATCATGCTAGATGAGATATGTGTGCACATGCCTCGTCGATGCTCAGCTCATGAATGCGCCCCAGATACTCTGCGAATCCAAGATCCCATCGGGAAATACGATACCTGAGTGGGGCAGGTGCAGTCACGCAGATTTCCTATGTGACTTCCCTCCTGCATGTCGGAGGTACGGACGAAGACGAGGCGACTGAACAGAGTGAGGAACACGACGACGGCGTGACTCAAATGGGATGAAGAGGGAGGCGACGGAACGGCAAGGATCGGATGTGACAAGATGTGACGGGGGGAAGACTTTGAGGGGAAGGGCGAGACGGAAGGCGAACAACTGCATGATGACTTCACGCACGCGCGCTGCCTCCACACGGGTGATGTGTGGCCTCCCGGAGTGGGTTCGCTCGGATTCTCGGGCGAGCCATCTGCCATCTCGACGGGGAGACGGTCCCGCTAAATGGCGCACGTGTCCCGCCCGCGGAGACGGAGCAGCCCTTGGACAAGTGCATGGCACGGCCCTCCAGCAATCAACACTAATTTCGCGCATTGGTAGAAACTCACCCAAAACTGGCATGACATGCTGCGTCAAGCCGGTGAAAGAAAGAAAAGTCTCACCACAGGACGTGATCACGGGTGGCGAGCGACATGGGCTCGTTCACGTGGAAGCTAAACACGAGTTCGTCTGAGGCTACACATGTCTCTTTGCTTCCAACCCATTGAGCATGGAATTGATCATATCTGTCGGTATACATACGCATTCTGTGTTACTGCGCCGATTTTGTAGACGATGTTTCCGTTCGATATTGAGCACCACAATCTAAACCGTTTGGATATTGGCACCGCCGCATAAATATCCCCCCAGGATTTCCGTCAAAGCGTTGTTGTTGATTTGTTTGGTGGACGTCGCGCATTGCGTGGTTAGGTCGTCACAGGGAAATTCAACTTCCAACGCCTTCACTTGAGTCACGCGACGCCATTTCGCGACGCGCATGTGTCACGTGTGGAACACACAAACGTACCATGAAACAGAGGTCAATGAACATCCGCAGGGTCTCGCCACGCAGTGCGACATATTGACCTGATCATTCGGCTGGCAGATGACTGGTATCAAGCGGCAACTCCTCTTTATTCAAGCACGCCACCGAACGCATCGCTACATTTTGTTGGGACGCTCGTGCGCCGGGGCGAGAAACGTGCGTCGCTTTCACAACGAATGTGGCGGCGGACACAGCAGAGCAGCACACACCACGACCAGGACGACGCCGACGACGGCGACGACGACGCAGAAGAGGCGCGCTCACGGTCGGCACCGCCGCACGAATGTGGGAAAAGGCCCAGGACCCAGATCTCCGATGCCATAATTGTTTCACGGCGTCAACTCCCGGAGGTTTTGACCACTTCCCTGGGGCAAACTTTTCATCCCGAGTCGTTTGTTGTCGGTCCATGGGCCAGCTGCGGGCCTCTGGAGGTGGAAAATAACAAGAGACCTCCTGTCGCCACTTTTCCAAGACGCGAGGGGTCTGGGGAGGACGAGAAGGAGGAGGACGAGGGGGAGGGGGACAATGAGGAGGCCGGAGAACCGCAGGAGACAAGGAGGAGGAGGACGAGGGGGACAAGGACAAGGACGGAGAACCGCGGGTGACAGGAGGACGATGACGAAAGAAGAGGAGAGGAGGAGGAGGTGGAGGAGGAGGAGGAGGAGGAGGAGGAGGAGGAGGAGGAAGAGGAGGAGGAGGAGGAAGAGGAGGACGAGGGGGACAAGGAGGAGGACGGTGAACCGCGGGTGATCAGGAGGAGGAGGAGGAGGAGGAGGAGGAGGAGGAGGAGGAGGAGGAGGAGCACGACGAGGGGGACAAAAAGGAGGAGGGGGACGAGGAGGACGCCGCCGACCGGTGCGGCCTGGCTGCGGGTGGTCTGCTGGAAGACCGCGAAGCTCATGGCGGGGCCGCCCCGCAGCCGGCCCCGCGAGGGGGGCGAGAGAGCGGCCCCCCTCCGCGAGGGGCAACGTTAGGGTCAGGTCGGGCCTCTCCCCCTGGAGGCGCGTTTTGGACGAAGAATGAAAAATAATCCAAAACAGAATTTTGCAAACATTGTCATTATTTAAAAAATGGTCCCCCGACTATTTTTCGACTATTGTGGAATATTCCTCCTGTAGAAGGACAGGCCAAACTTAACGTTAGTGGTGGGGGGGGACGAACGACGACGCTCGAGGTTCGAAGTTCAAGGATTTCGCACGGTTTCTTTGGAAGAGAAAGAAACCGCATAAACATACACTTTTGCCGCTCCGCGCGGATTTCTTGGATTCGCGCTGGACCCCCTCCCTGGGGCGCGGAGCGCGCCGGCAGGCCCATGCGCAGATCCAAGAAATCCGCGCGGAGCGCCACAAGTTTATATTTATGTGTTTTTTATTCTTCGATTCTTGGGCGCGAATCAAATGGGGGGCGATAGATGGTGGGGGGGAGGAAGGTGTCATTTTCTGGCCCTAACCCTAAAAGGTCCCTTGCTGCAGCCCTCGCTGCCCCCCCCATGTATCGCCCCCCCCCCCCCAATAACGCGTCATCCGAGTTCCGTGGATTCCAAACACTGTTCGTGTCTCTGGGTGCCTTCCACTGGCTGCGCCTCGCCGAGAGCGTTCCGGGGGTGCCCAGATCATCTCGAACGGCCGCCAGAGATCCGACGCATGACCCGAAAACCAGACGAGGAGGATCATTGAGGGGGACGGGCTCAGGAGGGGAAACGTCGAGCTGGAACGGGCGATTCATCACGGAAAGATCTCCGATGGATCCCCGAGAGTGAATCCACACGTTCATCGATGCATTCCCCTCTGAGCCTATGCCCCCTAACGTTGCCCCTGACTCGGCCCCTCCGCCCCCTCCGCGCCCGAGCCCCTCCCCTGCACCCGAGCCACGGGAGACGAAGCAAGGCATGGCCGCTCCTCGGGGGCATCCATGAGGGGGGGGCATCCAAGAGGGGGAGTCGCAAATCATGGCCCGAGGTATACGAGGGGGGTGACCAAGGAACGCACTGAAGAGAGAAGGTAGCAACAAACACCGGGGAGCTACCATTCCATGTCCCCAGCTATGGTATCCACCCCACCCTTCCCCTGGTCATCGCCTCCGTTGGCTGCCCCCAGTTTCCTCCTCCTCCTCCTCCTCCTCCTCCTCCTCCTCCTCCTCCTCCATCGTCTTTTCCAACTCGACCTCCGGGGCGACGCGTGAGCGTGCAGCACCGCAGAGGGCGGCAACAAAGCAAGGGAGCGAGGGGGAACAGGGGAGCAGCGGCGCGCGCCAGGCGCGCCGAGGAGCCTCCTCCTCCTCCTCTGCGATGTCCTGACTTCTCCCAACCATGCTGTGGTGTCGGGCCCTCGGTTTGGAGAGACACCACCCCGCGTCCGCCTCCTCCTCCTCCACCTCCTCCTCGTCCTCCTCCTCCTCCTCGTTCTCCTCCCGCTGCCCCTCCTCCCACCTCCCATCCCTGCCTCTGTCCTCCGCATGCCCTTATATCGTCACACCCCCTTCCACGCTTCGTGGCCCACGGGGAGATCCACCGAAGGCCCCAATGGCCGCGGCCCCATGCGTCCCCATCACCCACCACAGCAGTTCGTTGTCGCATAGGGAGCTCTACCGAAGGCTTTAGAGCGACGTTCACATGCGTCCCCACCGCCCAGTACACAGCATCCTGGCCCGATAGGAAGCTCCACCGAAGGTCTCAGAGGCGACGTTCGCATATGTCCCCACTACCCAGTACAGCGCTTCGTGGACACATAGGGAGCTCCACCGAAGGCCCCAATGGCGGCGGCCGCCCGCATTCATCCACACGACCTAATATTAGGTCGGGTCTGTCCCCCCTACAGGCGGATGTTGGAGAACAAATTTAAAATACCCCCAACACAGATCCAAACACATCTCAAACAATTGATTTTAAAGAAAAAGCCGCCCCCATACTATTTATTACTATGATAGAATATTCTCCCTGTAGAGGGACAGGCCCGCCTTAAACCTAAGACAGCGCTTCGTGGCCCTATAAGGAGATCCGCCGATGTTGGGCAAACGAGTTGTTTAGGTAGTGAGTAAGTGAGCTCCCCCGCCTCGCATTGGACAAGTGATGGCATCACTGGCGGCTCAATGCTCGTCCTGGGTGTGCGAAGGATTGCTCCTGGCCTCACGAAGAGCAAGGGAGGGGCAGCAGAGGAGCTGGGGACGGGGAGAAGCGATGGGAGGAATGATGACCCAGACCTCGGACGTCGTGTTTCGCAGCGTGGACCCCCAGAAGTAAGGAGGAATGATGACCCAGGTCTCGGACGTCGTGTTTCGCAGCGTTGACCCCCAGGAAGTATCGGCCCCTCCACGAGGACCCATGTTACATCCCGAATCGTGTTTTGACGGTCCCGGGGCCTGGCGAATGCCCCGGGAGGCCGACAGTGGCCCCACACACCCCGTCGTGACTGCTGTCACGACCAAGGAGGTTGGGGAGAGGTGGAGAAGAAGACGCAGCAGCAGCAGCGCACACGAGAAATGAGAAGAGATTGGGAGGAACATGAGTAGGAGGAGGAGGAACATGAGGAGGAGGAGGAGGAGGAGGAGGAGGAGGAGGAGGAGGAGGAGGACGAGGAAGCGAGGGCGGAGCGCAGGGGAAGGGGGGTGCCGGTTCGATTTGCGAGTCGCACCCTCGGGCGGCGTCAGCTCGTGCCGCGGGATGCCGCGCCCTGCAGATTTCAGGGCGCGCGCTCGCCAAGGGCTGCCTCTCGCAGGCCGCCAGCCTCTGCAGATGCTGCCGCCGCTCCCCCGGGCGAGCCCAGAAAATCGATAAGTCGGATCATGATACGGGTCGGCGGCAATCGGCAGCCGAGTCGGGAGGAATCGAATCGGCGGAACTCGGCAGGCCGGTGGGCCTCCGTGGAGACATCGGAATCCAACTCGGAATCCGAGATCGAATCGGATCGGAATCTGAAGCCATCGACATCGGATCGAATCGAATCGCAGACATCGACATGAGCCCTGCTACCCTGACCTTCCCTGGGCACGACAGGAAGAGGTCCCGAGGGAAGCGGGTCCTGGACCCCTGCGGCTCTCCCCCAAGACGCCGCTTTTCATCGGGAGCTCGAGCAACTTGTAGGTCAGCAAGCGTGGGCCCCTGACCGAAAGTTATGACACTGTGACTGTGCGAGCTGTGCGGTGCAACCATGCGGCGCACGCTGTATATATATAGTGAACGCGATGTGGTGCAGGCCGTGTGGCGGAGGCCATGTGGTGCGACATGTGTGGCGTTACTTACGTGATGGAAGCCATGTGGTGCAACATGTGTGGTGCAAGCCATGTGGTGCAACCTACGTGGCGAACAAATATGTGGTGGAAGCTATGTGGTGCACGCAATGCGGTGCAAGCTGCGTGTGGTGCACGCTAGCTTGAGAGATCTGCGCGGTGCAACTCTCACGTGGTGCAAGCTATGTAGTGCAAGCTACGTGGCGCAAGACATGTGCTATGTGGTGTCGGCTGTGTGGTACCACCTACGCGGTGCTATATGCGTGGTACAAACAACCGGGTGCACGCTGTGTTGTGCAAACGAGGTGGTGTGAGCCAGGTGGTGCAATATACGCGGGCGCCCACAGGCGGGCCCAAGGCACAACCTCAGCATAACAAAATTCCCCCAAACATGGAGCGCCCACGGGTGGATACCAAACGAAACCTGGGGACACCCACCCAAGCCCCAGGCGCCCACGAGTCGTCCATGCAACCCGGGAAGCGAATCCAGAGAGCAAGCACGGTTTTGGGACATTCGACTCCAGGGGCCGCTTCCTCCAGGTGAGATGAAGGCAGGAAGAAGATGAACTCAGGCAGAGATGCCTCAAAAGCACTGAGACCCAACGGCTTCGGGGAATGTTCGGGCGCCGTGGCCGTTCCAGGGCGATCCCGAACGCTGTGAAAGCGATCCAGGGCGCTGTGGAACGATGTATCTTCTTCCAAGTCCTGCCTGATGGAGACCCTTTCTTGGCGGCGCGCTCAAGGGGGTAGGGGGAGGGGGGGACGCTTCTTGGGAAGCTGCTTCTTAGAAGGCGCCGGCCCTACATTCGACAGATAAGGCCCGCGCCCTCTAAGAAGCAGGGTGCTTCTGAGAAGCCTTCCCCATTCCCTGGAGGAGGAGGAGGAGGAGGAGGAGGAGGAGGAGGAGGAGGAGGAGGCGGAGCCGGCGGAGCCGGAGGAGGAGGAGGAGGAGGAGGAGGAGGAGGAGGAGGAGGAGGAGGAGGAGGAGGAGCCCCCCACCTCTGCGCGCGGCTGACCTTCCCTTCGTGGCGACCATGCCCTCCCGTCGGCGTCGAAGATCGAAGACCAGACCGCAGCAGCATATCTGTACACGGGGGCTCAGCCTGGCAGCGCTCACGCGGGGAGAGCGCCAGAGGGGGCAGCCTGCGAAGACTTAAGTCGGGCCTGTCCCTCTACAGGAGGGATATTCAAAAATAGTTCAAAGCTAGCCTGGGGACTATTATTCGACTATTTTCGAACATGTTGGGAGTATGTTTCAAGTAGTTGGATTTTGTCGCCCCTGATCCCCGGTAGGGAGACAGGCCTGACCTAAGCGAAGAGGCGGGGGCGCTGCTGAGCAGGCAGTGGCCTTCTTCTTCGAAGCCCTCCACGTCTAGAGATGGCCTCCTAGAAGCCGCGGCGTGGGGCCCTTCCAGGACGACCC